CTTAATGTATCGAAATAATGCAAAACTTTAAAAAAAGCTTTGCGATGCATTTAATGATTGAAAGCATTCTGAAAGTCTGAAATCTGGAGCTTTCTAAGACTTCCTTCGGTGACTCCAGATATCGGAATATTTTGGATTTTAGATCATCAGTTTAAATCTACTAAGATGATGTGTAAAAATTATAAAATTAAAAATTTGAAATAGTTGTTTATGGAATAATGAAACATTTATTATCTTATGGGACTCTAAATTTACAGAAAAAGATATCAAAATTTGTTTGTTTCATTAAACATTTCTGGTGATGTAAGTTGTTTAAGCTGTTTTGTTTTTTGTGCCGATACTTTCTCTTTAATTTTATGTATGGACATAATTTCTTGCTTAGGTACAAAGCTTCATTATTCAAATCCTGTAATTTCCACAGAGGGTTTCCCAACTCTCCTGATTTAGCAGGAGATTCCAGACTTCTGATCCTTCTGCCGTAAACCCAATTTACAATATATTTCACCCGACTCTTATTCTTAAAAGTTCTCATGATTTGTATGTAGCTTGGCTTAATACTTCGTTATTTGCACAAAAAAAAAAAAAAAAAAAAAAAAAAAAAAAAAAAAAGTTATTTGGAGAGTCTGAAGGCAATATAGCATATAAAAGAAAACCAAAGTCATTTCATCAGTGAGAAATTATGGCATGATTCTGCTTTGTAAATGAGAGCACAGACATCGTCCAAAAACATTGTGTTCCAGTTCTTCGATAAGCATCGAGGACCACTGCATGTTATCTGACATACTATATTAACCAATGAGCACAAAGCGGGATCGAGGTTGTTATTTCATTCATCTTGGTGCTGAGCAGTGTAAGTGCACGTGCTTTCAAGAAAATAGTTTAAAAGATTATGATCTTTTGTTTTAGTTGTCTGCGAAAAAGGTAAAATACTCATGTAAATTTGAAAAATCGTACAGAGACCTTTCCTTTTATTTAAGGAAATGTAATACATTTGCAACATGTACCGCTTGTTATCGTGATTTTTCGATTTCGTATGGTGGAAGGGTCGATGTTCTTAAACATGTACGGGCACAAAAACATAAAGAGAGCATGAGTTCTATTGGGGAAAAAAAAAAAGAAAAAAAAGAAAAATCAAATTTTTCTGTGGAAACAAAAAAACTAGAAAGTTACTAATGCAGAATGCGTGTTCTCTGCCTTTTTACTGGAGCACAACCTGCCACTGAATGCATCGGATAATGCTGCAGCTTTATGTAGAAAATTTTTTCCAATTCCGAAATCACTAAGAAATACTCAAGTGCAAGGACCAAAGCAGCTGCAATTGTGAAAGGAATGGGAATGAAAAATAAATCTTCATTTATTGATTGCATTAAAACAGTTCCTTTCTGCTCCTTACAGATGGAAATAATAATACTGATTCAAAACTGTATCTAGTTCTTTTTTCCTAATCCAGTGTCTTCAAAAATTGAGTGTAGTTTACTTTGTGTCCCCCCTTTATGACAGGCCTTTAACTCTTTGAGGAGCAGGAAAAGGGAATTAACTTTTTCAGTAAAATTCTTGTTTTATTTACTATATCTGGTGTTACAATGAAGTTATTTGCAACAATTACACATATTTTGTCCAAGACTCGTAAAAAAAATGACCACTTCTGGTGGTTAGTGTCGGTGACCACTGCTCACACAGAACAACACATCCCTACAAATTCGTCTCTATGGTACTCATGGAAACAGTTTCCCCCTCTCCCAAGCAGAGTGCAACTTTCCATGTGCAGCATTCCCAACACTGTTCTGGTGATGTGCACTTTGCAGCACCAAGAAAAACCACTCTGCAGCACTTTGTTTCTTTTACAAAATGCGATGGCTGATGCTTATTTTCTTGAAGACGAATTTCTGCATCAACTATTGGCTTATGTTTCTTTATTGCCATCTAGTGAGCTGCAAGGGAACTTCAGAAAACGGTCAGTCTTGAAAATCACTCGCACGAGTGAGCAAGGCATTCAGTAGAAAAGGTGGTTACTGTAGGTAACCACTGTGCTTCGAAGAGTTAATATTGCACAGCTAATTATTAAAAGATTAAAAGAAAATTCAGTTCCTCTGGAAAATTGCTTAGCTCTTAGTGCCGATAATGCAGTAGTAGTGGTAGGCTTGAAGACTGGCTTTGCAGGTATCTTAAAGGAAAATTCATATTTGCAAATTATGAGCTGCACTTGTCACCTGTCAAATTTAGCAGCCAAAAAAGGGCAGTTTTTCTTTTTAAGTGGAGATAAACACATTGTTAATATTTATTATCATCTTGAAAGAAGTTGTAAAAGAAAGGAAAAATCAAAACCAAAAAAAAATTTTTTTGAAGCATGCAAGTGCATCTATTTATATCAAAGAATACTAGTCAAACCTTCTTTTACCCGTTTCTCTGCTTTTGGCGCCAAGCGTTTTCACAACTGGTTCATCTTTGGTTTTCTTAATACATGAAATGAATTTCGTTTACAAAATATGTGTCTAGAGAATTTTTCGATGGAGCACTTTTGCATAGTTTTGCGACGATATACATTGAATGGTTTATAAAAGTTTGACTTTTTTGGTAGCATAAAGTAGTATCTGACTCCTAATAGACCTTAACATCGTGTCTGGATAGAACTAAAAAATATCTAAAAGATTTAAATAACCTTTTTATCAAGTCGGAACTTTAATAGAAGATCACGTCTTGTGCTTGACAAACTTCCCAGCACTTCCGGCAAGATAGCTTAAAAGTAACAGTAAGCTCAAATTTAAGACTAAAAGTAGTAGACAAATTATTTAACACAAAGCTAATTCACAAACCGAACTAGTGTAACAATTTAAATATCGGCAATTGAAATGCAATGCCAAAGACTCAAAAGTTTGCCTGAGCTAGCAGAAAACTAGTAATGTGGTCTCGAGAGGTTGAAATGCACTGTCTTAAAAAAATTCCCAAACTTTCCTTTAAATGCTGTCTCTTTCTACCTCATTTACATTCTGGTAAGGAAATTGAAACAAGAAGTGCCAGTAAAGATCCAAAACATAAAATAGCTTGCTAGTGAAAAATAGCAGTAATAACTGTACAGGTTAATTTTAAGATTGTTGATGTTTTTATTTTCTTCAACAAAATTTTGTTCTTAAACATTCAGCCATGATGGTGCTGTCCCTGAAGAAGTCCCTATGTGCTTCTAATTTTTTCTGAATGATATATTCATATAGTTCTCGTATTGGCTATTGGTGTTTATGTATTAGTGCAATTATATAGGTATTGTGTGGGGTGAATTTTTACAAATAAATTCCAAAGAAAGTGATCTATAATTTTAAGAAGATTTTTTATATCATAACATGTTCTAATGTACATATTTTAGTTTTGATTAGGTGTCTGTCTACATAGGTTTTTGGAAAACAATGAATAAACCTGCTAGTCACAGAAACGTACAAAGAATAAACCTGCAGGCAATAGATTTTTTTACCCCTCTTATTCTAGGGCGAGTTTTTGTTGCAATCACTTTAGTAGTACATTCAAAGCAGTTGAACTTGACATGGTCTAAAGTACGATTCCAGCTGGTGACAGATTGTCCACCTATGCTTAGTATTATGCTATTTTACTGATTTTTCACACACTTTTTAAGTTTTTCTATTTTATAGTTCAGGAATTGACAAAATTGTATATATGAATAACCATTTTGTGCATAAATTCATCTTGCTTTTCAGTTTTATATATGGACTAACAGTTAGAATAGCTATTTCCTTGCTTAGCAGTCTTGTTTATTTTCCCATTAATATTATAGCTGCATCTGCATCCCAAAGCCCAACGTCTATTCATTTTGTGAACATGCTTTCATCTGTTTCAAAGATTAAAATTTTTCACTCATTATCCTCATATACCTGCAAAGCCAGTTATTATCTATTTTTTTACCTATTTATCATGAATGCAGATCTGCTCCATGAGTTTTAAGACTAAATCGTAATTTGACTTTAAAAGTTGTTAGAGCTTGTAATACAACAAAAAGAGCACACAAAAAGTGGTGCCATTGCTTGTTACAACTTATTGTTGCACATATGGTTGCCAAAATTTAGTGGCTTTTACCAAGGTAGTAAGTTAAGTTTTTTGGGTATTTATGTGCTTGATCCTTGAACTTTTACTGTGCATTGTTAAAGAACTGTGTTGAAAATCTGGAAGGTGATAGACATAAAAATTCTTAATTTCTTGGCCTATCATTATATATGTAATTTATTGTCAAAACTAAAATGTTTTAGTAGTGGTTAAATGAAGAAGGTTTCTGGTATGTAGTTTATTATAACTGTTCTCCAGATTATAATGGCATTATGGTTAGACTTGTTTCTAGTATTTATAATGTATGTATGTGTTATTTGTATAGATTTATATGTATATGTGCTATGCAATTTTTTCTGTCGTTGGTTGTTGCAATCAAATCACTGTCGTTTCAACCTAGTAGGAAAATTATATTTTGTATTCTGATACAGCAATCTAGGCATGAGTTTATTGCCCATGGGAAATGGAAATGCTTTATTGACAGAGTGATTAAATCATTAATATGAAGGTCTTTAAAAATTCATGAGTTTTAACTAACATAGGGAAAAAGAAATACCAATTGTTAGTTTGCATCTTTTTGTTTGAAATGAAATAAATACATATAATTGGGCATTTGTGCAGAAAAATATTTTAATTTTCAGTTTAACTTGTGCAGCTGGCAAATTTTGAGATATTTATTTGGTGCTGGCTCTGAAAGACAAAAAAAAAAAAGGGGGGGAGAGGGGAATTCATCATTAATAATATACCAATTTCTAACAGTCATGAGACCCACTTTGTACTCTCGGTTGAATGTTAACCAAATTTTTTTAGTAATGTTTCATTCTTAAAAATTTTGTTAGATATTTGTGTAGCCTGATTTTGACCTTCATTTTAAATACTAGCAATATATTATTTACACCTGAAAAATATTTATACTGATTTTTTAATCCTAACAATTTTAATTTTCTATTTAGGCAGAAGAGTTGGTACTTAATATTTTTCCACAGAAAATATTAGAACTTGAAGCTCTTCTAAAGGTAAGCTAATAAAAATTTTATATTTCAAGAAGATTCATACAGATCTTGAATAATTAGTTCATTTGGGACAAATACATGAATATAATTTTTTAATTACTACGTTGTTTTACAATAGTTTTCTGTACTTTCGTAGTTTTTATGCTTGTCACTGATGTATATATTTTTCAAATTGATTTCTTCTGTTTTAAAGTGTATTCAACAGCCTCTTTCTGATGCTGTTTATTGCAGCAGTTTTAATAGTATTGAAAAGTAACATCACAATCAGATCAAATGTGCAAGTTTGATTTTATATAAATTTGGGTATCAAATTTAAAGTTTTATTTAGAAATAGAATGACTCTACACTATTGCATAATTTATGCTTTTCAGGAGATCCCTCTGTTAAGTATAATTATGATCGTCTTGTGATATTGAAATTTGTACTGTTAGTTTTAAGATTACGCGTTTTAATATAAAGAGTGCTATTAGTGTAAGTCTTCTATGATTCAAAGATATTATTGAGAATATAATATTAGTCTTAATAATATTGCTTCTGCTTAACTCTTATCTTTTCATCAATTAAGACTAAATTCTCTGCATTCAATTGCATAATTATTAGAAGGAAAAGAAAATTGATCAGTCAATATGTTCAATTTTGTCCCTCTTCCTAGAAATGTGTATACTTCTGTTATTGTGTTTAAAGTATAAAAAAATTGTTTCAGCATTATTAACATAAGACTCGTTTCAGACTGAAAAATTCACCGTTACAGATTTATCATCCATTCATTGTGAACTCAACATTCCTATTCCAGATCCTCCTTATGTAAATCATGATACAGATGAAGTAAGTTGGATTATATTTTCTTATGGAGTTATTCAGTAACAAAATTCAGTTTATGTGTGAATATTTTGCATTCCTATGCATATCCTGGTAGGTGAAACTATTCAGTATGTTGCATTTATTCAAAAAGTTGAGAATGTCTTAAATTTTCTTAATATTCATGTACACTTTAATTATTTTAATACTAACATATATATTTTACCTACCTGAATTAAAAATATTCATGTTAATGTATTGAACAGAAAGTACCATATTTATTTATTATATCGTATACAATTGTAAAATTGATAACTATGAAAATCATTATATTGTAAAAATGTATTAGCTGCATATAGTCTGTTCAAAAAGTCTCTTTTAGTGGATTATTAGATGAAGTCACTCAACTTAGTTAAATGGAAATACTCCGGGGTTACAGTAAATGCTAAAAATGTCTTCTCAGAGCCTGAAAGCACATGTCAGCCCATGTTTGTGAGCATCTGAAGTAAAGTTTGGTTATCGATCCATGTACACCACTCTATTGGCTTCCCCCCCCCCCCCCCCGAGAGTAATAAATTAGACAAGCTTAGTGAGCATGTTTCCTTCGAAATAAAAACTGTTAGATGATTAACTGCTCTGTTTATTTGTAACCAGCACAAAATGTGTTCCACCTAAAACACTTGCTGCTTCATATTTAATATTGTAGCGTACACCTGTATTGCTCAGCTTGTGACAGAGCAATGATCTAGCTAACAACAGGTGGTTGAAATGGGACCTGCAGCCCCTTTGTTATTGTGCCTGTAGGAAAGATGTCTTTTGAATTGAAGGTCTAGCCTCATTCATGTCTGTGTCAGACATTTTCATAACATTGCAGACATTTCAAAGATTCCAAGTGTTTCAAATACTTCTTTCACAAAAATTTTACCTACATACACTGGGGAGAGACTTTTTGGATGTGCTGTATTATAATCAAATTATCTAGTAACTTCAGAAGAAATTAAATGTTTTAACTGTATATTTTATTTTGTAATCTGTTATGAACAAAAATAAGTTACTTTATTTTTAGTTAAAAAACATTTTCAATTGGTTAATTGTCACAATAGCTATTGCAAGCTTATTACCTTAATGTCGGCAGTGGCTGTTGCAGTAGACATCACAGATCTGTAGCTTTATCAGAAATGGGCTTTCAATTTATGTGATTGAATAGAACATTTGATATAAAGCTCTAGTCAGATAGTGTTTTAATTTTTTGTATCAAAGGTAATATTTTGCTGTCTCATTCTAGATAGAAAACTGATTGTAATTGGTCTTTTGTGAGCCATTTAATGTTTAATGTATGTGTCATTAATGTCATTTGAATGTGCTGATGCAGGAGTGGATCAGATGTAGTTGTGATCTCATCCGTCTAGTTAAATTTCCTGCCGCAAATGTATTAGCTGATCTAGTACTAAAACAGTAAAACTAGAAGTGTAAAGGTCCTAAACAAAGTTTCCAATATTTCAGCTGCTGTAAGTATTTATTGCAGGTTAGTTTGTTTTTGTGATTTGATTTAGGGAAGTGCAGGTCAAATCAGAGTTTCTTAATTATGTTTAGTGCTTATCAAATAACAAACTTTGGAAGGTAAGAAAGCTTTTCGCAACAGCAGAGTTCATACAGTCCATAAAAGTCCTTAATTTCGGTCAAAATCGGCAAAAGGTCCTGAATTTAAATCATCTAAATTTTTTGTCTGTTTTTACGGTTGCCATTTTGTGTGTGAATTGGCATTTTGGAGGAATATTTTTGGCATTTCACTGACAAATTGGTTATCTTTTGAATAGCTTCATGCATTATAAATTTGCTCCTGTTCCTAATATAAACAGTGGTATACTCGAGTTTCTGGGCAAGAAGTGAAACATAAGCATTTTGAAATTATTTCCTTTTGTCTAAAGAACTAACTCTTAAACAACTCTTCGCTTTTGCGGGTGTGAATTCTTTTATTAAACGGTTTTAAATTTGGCAACTTATCAATGTTTTTGGTGATTTTAAGATCAGTTTCTGTAGAAAATTTTTAATTCTGAAATTTGCTAATTTTTCTTAGACTTTATTATTATTATTATTACCATGATAAATTTCATTCAAATAATGGTAATATATTGAAATTTTATTTAAGAAATAAAGTTAAAGTGATTTATTTAAAGTGAAACATTTTTATTTTTTGCTGTCATATTATAAAATGGCGTTATTTTCATTTTGGCTATTTTTATACAATGTTTTTAATCTGAAAAATAATCAAGGTAGTAAATGCAATGAAGAGCAGTTTATGAAACAATTCTTAGCAAAAGCAAAAAAGCCATGTAATTATTTAAAAATGTCTTTTTTATTTTTTCCATGGTAAGAGTTTTTCCCATGTAATTGTCTCAGAATATGCATCAGTTTCGTCTATAAAATTAATTTTATACTTTGTTCTTCTCCCCCCCCATATATTATTTACTTTTTACTGTTACAGATTTGGTACGGGTAACAAAATTAGCCCTTTGCGCTCGAGGCGCTTTTCTGTCGGGTAAACCAGCAACTTGAGAGTAATCAGCCACTCCCACTTATATCATGAGTTCCTTATTGTTAACTTAAAATAATTTTAGACACAATAAAACACTTTAAACTCGTATATTTTAACATTATACATATTTTTTTAACTTAATGAAACATATGTATGAAACATTACATTCTAAAATTTTGCTTCGTATGATATTTTACAAAACAATCTCCAATATGCATCCTGGGCTTGTCGGGGCATGTGTCACAGTAGTATACAGTTTGTCGCCTTTGGGACGTTCTTTGGGAGCAAACCTTGCAATCTTTTTTTTGCCCCATCAAAATAATATGCAGCTTCTCATTTAGTCGGATCGCTTCAAAAATGCTGTGTGAAGAAGAAGCTGTGCTGGGTTGTTTTTGTCGAAAGGCTCCTCTCAGTTGATCCACTAAAGTTTTGAAATATTGTAGGTGACTAAGCAGCCGTTTGTTTCTCTGTTTCTTTACTGATTTATAAAGAATTGATGAATTGATGGAGCAGATCTTCAAGCCCCCAAAAAATAGTTTTCGCCACCATTTTACGGATTTTTTTAAAAAACAATGTCGAAGCCAGTTGGTCAGCTCGATCAACACTGCTCGTAAATTTGATGTAATTTGCAATAACATTGGGCTTTTTTATAACGACTTCAATACCGCCTCGTAGAGTTCTTCTTACAGGAGTTATTCCCGCATTATTCCAAGTAGTCAAAGCCGTCACAATCCTCTTGTCCTTCCACGCAAGAACCAAAATATTACCTTTACAATATGCACATGTGGTTCGATTCTCAAATTTTGGCTTTCGTATTTTGCATGGTAGGTGCTTTCTATTTGTCATGATCGTCCGAGTTAAGTGGCACTTTTGTTTGCGTAATTCTTCCGCCAATATGTAACTCGTATAATAACGGTCTGTGAACATGTGGTGTCCCTGAACACAGAGAATTTTATCCTGTATCATTTTTTATAGATGTAGTGGTATTCTGGTTGATACCGGTAGATCGGGTCTTATCAAAGTCTCTGTTGTTAGAGATCCATAATACGGCAGAATAGCACAAATGAAGCCGGTATTTGAATCTGCAAGCGTATAAACCCAAATACCCCATTTTATAGGTTTCATTGGATTGTAAGTAATGAATGATATGCGGCCTTTGAATTTGACAGTCGACTCATCCACAAAAATCTGCTCTCCAGGTACAAAATAATTCAAGAACCTTTCATTTATATACTCGAGGAAACCAGATACTAACTGCTAACGGGTTCTAGTGTTTGTGTTTTCTCGGGTATTGTCTTGAGGTGAAGTCTCCAAAATATTTGACAAAATCGGTCTCTCGTAAACATGTCTGAGTAAAACGGAATATAGCTAGTATCATTTTTCGACCAGTATTCTTGTATGTTTGCCAGTGGCATTGTCCCCATATTTATGATTGCCCCAATAAACTCCCAAAATTTGGTAACTGTTACATCGTACCATGAACGCCATATAGAACGGGATGATAAGGTCTTCCCTTCCACCTCCCTTGCAGCGTTATTGTTAGTTTCCTGCACTATGTCAGTAACTAATTCCTCAGTGAAAAATAATTTATTGGTTCTTTTATGTATGCAAATACATGCGGTCCTACTTGTCTTTCACCGGATACAAACGGTATTCTTCTGGGGATTTCTTCGGATTCTGTGCACACTGTTGTTTCTGAAGGTTCAGTCGCTTCTGTGCAATCACTTTGGCTTCCATATTCACTATCGATTATTCGGATTTTTCATCTTGCTCCTCTAATGTCGTCATTATCTTTATCACTTCCGTCTTCGTTCTCATGGGCAAGCTGTCTATGTAGTGATGTAATTTCGTTCGTTATTCCTGAAAAATTAAACTCATCTTCGCTACAAGTAACTTCTTCGTCGTGTTCCATACTTATTGCGCTCGGTAACTTTGAATGAAATACTGTGTTGTGATCGGCAAGAAGGTTGAGTTCGAACTGATGTCGAAGACAGGGTCCTACCCGCGATCGCAAGTATTTTTGAGATGGGACCTTTAATCGCATAAGCATTGCAAAGACAACCTTTATTTGAGATAAGACATCCTTATAGCTATTTAGACACCTCGTAGTATGATCTACAAAAGGCCAAGTAGATCTCTCAAGCGATATTCCTTAGGTCAAACACAAATAAACACATTGATTCGAATAGTGCCTCTGAGGCACTGCTCGACTTATCACATCACATGCAGTGGTGCCTGAGAGGCACCGCTCGAGTGCAAAGGGTTAAAAATGTCTTCTATTAACACGTAATGGATATATTTTACAGAAAGTTTGTTATGAATTTCTTACTTTTGGGAGAGTTTTTGGAAGAACAATTCAAACATAGTGCTTGAATGTTTTACTTCTGATTTTAGAAGTCTCTTTCTTAACATGTTTATCATCCCTTTATATTCTCTACTTTCCACTAGACACAAGCAGGGGAAATATCACAGATGCTTCTAATCTTATCATATGGACAAGCATTTATAGAAAGGAATTTTTCTATTAATAAAGAAATTGAAAACTGACAGTTTAAAAGATTCATCTTTTGTGTCTCAACGCATCACACACAGAGCTTGTACTAGGCATTTTCATCACTTGTTTTAATCTCTGTGGTTCCAAAATTCTGATGACTGGGGCCTGTACTAAATTCTAACAGTTTAGCCGTTTCTTAAATCATGTTGCTCGGTAAAAATACTACGGAAATCCACAAAGCCAATTGAATGAATGCTGTTTTAGGCTTTTTTTTTAATTGGTGCCACACAGAAGAGGAGGTTCTGAACATAGTGACTGGTGATGAAAATTGGGCAGTCCATGCTAAGGGTCATATTGATTCTCCAACCCAGCTGAAAAAAAGCCCGTTGAACTTCATCAGCAAGGAAGATTATGGTCACTGTGTTTTTGGAATGCTGATGGAATTTTGCTTGTCGAATTCATGGAATGTGGTATGGCAATTAATTCTGAAGTGCACTATAACACTTTCAGAAAACAGAAGAGAGCCTTCCAGAACAAATATCGCATCCTGATGACATCTAGGGTTGTGCTCACAATGGCCTGTGAACGTAAGATCTTTTATGCCAATTCAAATTGAACATGTTTCAGCATCCTGCTATAGCTCGGATTTGGCTCCTTCTTATTATGATTTGTTCCCTGCAAGGAAGAAGTGGCTTGGCTTAGAACACTACACTTTGCTGATGATGAAGAGCCTCAAATTGCTATGAGAAGTTGATTGAAATCGCAGAAAGCTGAGTTTTATGCAAAAATGATTGGTAAGTTAGTAAAACGCTGTGGCAAGTGCTCGAATGTACATGGTGCCTATGTTGAAAAATGTACCTTTCAGATTAAAAAATTAAGTCCATGCAAGTTTTTTTATTTCTAATGAAACAGAGGTTAGTTTCTGAATTGCCCCCGTAAGAAAACTATCTTATTCTTGTATATTATAATGGTATTTGGTGATATTTTCTGCTAAGAGGAGATATCTTTTTAAATTACCTTAAATAAAAACTTTTATTTGGGAGCAGATTTACTTTTTAATACATTTTGTATTCAAAATTAACCTTGAACATCTGCTAAAACTGGGTTACTGACAAAATGGATGTTCTTCACTTAAAAATTTTAAGGTACTTTTTTCTTGTCGGGATCGGATTCAAAAATTGTGTGTATGCATGTAATTGTATGTGTGTATACACTTCTGGATCTGGTTCCAATAACAGAAAGTTCTCAATTTAATTAGTCACTTTGAGGTAATTTTGCTGTTTAAATATTTTTAAACAATGTTATATAATATTGTGTATATAAGTGTCTAGAAAAGTGGTTATCATCAGAGGTTTATATATTTTATTTAATGTGTGTATTTAATTTTTTTCTATTGCATTCTTTTAAAATGTTTTAATTTTGACTCAAAATTTCTTTTCTTTATTATCAAGTTGTAACATTCTTATTTGTAGATTCCTACGAAGAAACGAAAATTTAACGTTTTATCGAATGATATACCTGAAGTACAAGGTAATTAATTTAATTAATAACTATTAAATTAGTTGATTTTCTTATGTGCTTGAAATTTGTCATATATTTATGATTATAAATTTAATGCAAATGGTTGAAGTAAGTACAGTACAAATCGCAAGATCCGGATCTAGGGTTTTTTCGCATATTAGATCATCAGTTTAAATTTAATAAAATGATGTGTACAGATTATAAAATTAAAAGTACGGAATATTGGTTTATGAAATAGTGAAGCATTTATGACGTGCGCGTGCGCTTATACGAGGGTTGATCCAGAAATAAGGTTCCCATCAGTGTTACAAATAGGCAACATTATTTATTCTCATATATATCAATGTGCATCATTGGAAAGAAGACACTTTGCTCTATTTTTCAACATAATCGCCATTTTTGTAGACAGTGCTCCAATTTCTGTATCCCAGTGTCGTAGAATTCTGCCGCCAACCCGTTGTGGAAGCATTTCACCTCTTCTTTGACTTTGTCGCTCCAGAAGCGTCTTTAACTTGAGGAACAAGTTATAATGCTGTGCGTGAGGTCCGGACTGTGCGGTGGATGGGGCATGACAGTCCATCCAAAGTTTGTCAGATATCCTGTCTTTGATGGGAAATGCGAGGTTGGTCATTGTCATAAAGCAGTGTTACACCGGCTGTCAGTCGTCTTCGGCGGCAGTTTTGGATAGCTTGCCTGAGTTTTCTTAGTGTTGCACAACTGTCTGAGTTGATTGTTGTCTCAGTTTTCATGAAATTGATCAGCATTATGCCAGCAGAAAGAGTTTGTTTGAACTTCTTTTCATCTGGTAACTCTGACTGAGGCCATTATATAGACTTTTGTTTCATTTTGGGAGTGAAATGAAACACCCACGTTTCATCTCGTGTAACAACGGAGTCGAACAATCTTTCCTTATCTTCTTGAAGAAACTGGCGAGCACAGGCAAGGCGTTTATCCTGTGTGTTCTGCTGTCAACATACGGTGTACCCATCAAGCGCAACACTTGTGTTGCTCCAATTTTTTAGTCAAAGCTCTTTCTGTTGTACCATAAGAATTCTCTGGAATCCAAGCAACAAGTTCACGGATGGTGATTCTCTTGTTTTGAAGCATTTTGCATTGGACAATCTTGATAATTGCCTCCAAAACTGATGGTCTTCCACTCCATTCTTCATCGTGGATGTTCTTACGAATAGCAATAAACTCCTTGCATCACGTTCGGATGTGTTGAATGGACATACACTTGTCGTCATACACCTGGCAACTGACGATGAATATCCATGGGCGAAGTCCCTTTGGCGTTCAAAAAACGAATTATGGAATGAATCTCGCACTTAGTGGAAGGAACAGTGCCACCTCCATCTTGGACGGCTACTGAGCTAAGACTGAGCTTCACAGCAAAACGTGTGGGAACAGCTGTCCATAGCGGTGTTGCCGTATTTCACCTCGCACTTTCCCGTGTGGCTGGTGCTCTTTGGGAACCTTATTTATGGATTGACCTACATGCTTTTTCTTTAATTCTATAAGTAGACATAAATCCTTCTTCATACAAAGCTCCATTGCTTAAGTCTTGTAATTGCCATGTCGATAATTCCTATTTTCACTCGGAATTTTTTTCATTTTCAACAACCTGTGTGTTGCTTTCTTCACTATCAGTAGTGATATTTTCTGCATTCATAGCCATGCTTCAAATTTCGCCGTTTGTTTGCAATGTCCAAAAATCTTTGTCGCTACCATCATAAAGCTTATATGCATGATGATACGAGGGCCATCCAGGAAGTAGATTACGTTTCCGTCTGTGTCCGCTAGGGGCGGGGCTAGCGCGGCCATCTTGGGGTCAGAGCGTTGCGCAGCTCAGTCTGCATCTAGCCGTGCTAGTGAGAGGTTCGTGCTGTGCTCCGTTCAGATACTGTGACGGTTTGAAATGTCTGAGTTAATTGAAAATCCCGCGAGCTGCGAGGTGCGCTCAGTAATAAGGTTTCTGACTGCAAAAAACTGTAAACCGATAGAAATCTATCGGCAGCTTCGTGAAGTGTATGGGGACAACATTATCACTGAAGGTGGAGTGCATCAGTGGGTCATAAGATTTCAAAATGGCCGAACCAATGTTCACGACGAAGATCGAAGTGGGAGACCCAGCATAGTGACCGCCGAACTTCTCGAAAAAGTCGATGCTAAAGTCCGTGAAAATCGAAATTTCACAATAACGGAACTTTCTTTGAGTTTTCCACAAATTTCGCGAAGTTTGTTGCACGAAATCATCAGCGAAAAGCTTGGTTACCACAAGTTTTGTGCAAGATGGAAGGCAAGAAGAGGTAACGAAGTGGTTGAAGGCGCAGGCGGCCAAATTTTTCGACGAAGGAATTTCCAAGCTCGTACATCGCTACGATAAATGCCTTAATTTGTATGGTGACTATGTAGAAAAGTAGTATTTGAGTGTGGCTTTCATCTGTATATAATAAAATTTGTTTCCTATACTTTGTTTATTTTTTTATTCCAAAACGTAATCTACTTTCTGGATAGCCCTCGTACATATATGTGGATTTTTCATTATAAAGCTTATGCGTCATAAAGTGCATTATACGTTAATGATCATATATGTGTCATGAGATTTGGTGACTAGAGGTATGTTGTTTGCTAAATTTTCTCTTGCTTCTAATTTATACTGAGAAAGTTAAGCTAATTTAGAAAGTTAGAATTACATTAGTTATTTATTATACTTATGTCTGTTTCCTACATATACTCAAATAATCCCAAAGGAAGTCCTTATAGGAGTCCCGAATAAATACTCACGTATACTTAAGGCTTACCTGAACATCAAAATCAGTTTTTATTAATTCTCAAACAGCACATATTGTAATTTTTTGGCCTCTGAATATCATTTACAAAATTTATCTTTTGCATATGGAAAGAAATTTCTCCTTGTCAACACACTTAACAGTTAGCTGAAGTCTGTTATCTTTCCCAAGCATAATACCAACTTAAAAAGTCCAATGCCGTTTGGCTTACTAATATAAAAAAAAAAAAAAAAAAAAAAAAAAAAAAAAAAGTTTTCCACTTTGGTACCTGAGTCATTTCTTAAAGCTGCATGTGTTAGTAATCGTGCAGTGATGAAAGCAAAAAATGATTTTCCAGGTTGGCATCAGGGCTATTAGTTATTCAGTAGGTGTAAAATTATTGATGTTTTGATTTACGATGTATACCAAGAAAAATTATCCTAGAGATTTATGCTAATACATATCTCCATATAGAGATATTTAGTGTTGAATTGAAATTAAGAATTGGGTCTCTCATGTTTATTATGGATAAATACCATATGTGCATGCATAAGGCATTAAAAAAAATTCTCTAAAAGGTTGCTGATGGCCCAGAGGTCTGGATTTTATATCATTCTGGATATTGGACATCTGGATTTCTGATTTTATACTGTACTACCTGAAACAAAGTGTTCAAGAGAATGAAAATTTGTTGATGTATTTTTAATTGCGAGTTAAAAAATTTAATGAGTTTCACGTATTAAAGTACAAGGATATCAGTTTTTTTAGTATATTCAAATTTTAAATAAAATCTATGGGATTGTATTTTAACCTTAGAAAGAAGGCTAGTCTTTTCATTTCAGTATATTCTTATTAACATCACCCCCAGTTTGAAAAAACTGCCATTTTTGGTGTATTTTCGGGTATGCACCTGACAATAATCAAGGTTCCATTATTGCTTTTTTGACTGCACTCGGATTTATTTATTGTTGGTGCAAAGAGTTAACAACTATTGAATGGAGGAAAGAGCAATTAGATTTGAGAAACAAGATAATGATAGATTGGAACAATTATCTCGAATTTTCGGCCGCAGCCTTTTGTCAAGACCAAATAAGAATGGGAGAACCTAACAACATAGCAGAAATTGATGAAAGACTTTTCTCAAAATGCAAAAACCGAGTAAGTAGAATGCTCCCTGAGAAATAGATGTTTGGAGGAATTTATCGAGAAAATGAATGTTTTATCGTAAGAGTTCATGATAGAATAGCAGTCACTTTTTTACAAGGAATTTAAAAAAAATATTGAAGGAGGATCTTATTTTTTCTGACTTATGGAAGCCATATAAGACTAATGAATTAAGAGCTGCAAGTGTCGAACATTTCAGGATCAATCAAAGTTATAATTTTGTTGACCTGGATACTGGTGGTGCACACTGACAGAACATCGAAAGATAATGGGACTGGGCAAAATAAAAAGCATTGCGAAACTGCTTGACAGCACTTAGACTCATATATATGCGAATTTATGTGTCATCATCCTCATAAAGAAGACTTACTTGTAGTGATTTTGAATGCCATTAGGGAGTTTTGGCTACCAGTAGCTGACTGCCGATATAAGGTTATTATTTATGTTTTTCATTTAAATAGCCTTTTTTTGTGTGTGTTAAAATAATGAATTTAAAGTACTTTTATGTTTATTTATTTTTACAAATAAACTATGTCTCGAATTTTTTTAACTGTATGTTTTAAAATATTAATTTCAACATTTTTTAAGAATGAATTTGCTTTCATTCCCATTAAATAAGCACTGGAGAATAATAAAAAATGATGTGGTATCAGTTTGGTGGAATTTGCACCAACTTTCCTGGTCAACAGTATTTTACACTTGTACCATTTTTTTTATTAACAAAGTGAATGATTTGAAAGTGAACAGTGGCAAAGCTGTTCGAAATAAAATATTTTTATCCCCAGTATGCAAAATTGTCTGTCAAGAATTCTAAAGATATGCCTTTTAAAAAAAAAATCTTGTGATTGTGCTGTTGAATTGAATTTTATGTGGCGTAAGGGCGAAGAAAATCATATTTAATAAGTAAACACATTTAAAAAAGACAAAACAAATTTTGTTAGCTATCTTACTAAGAAAACTGAATATTAATATGGTGAGCTGAGAAGTCTAAAAGAATATATAAAGTATGTGTCTTAATGGAGAAAATGATGGTTCAAAATAAAGCTTAAAAGATTGGAGGGGAAGATTAGCAGG